GCGTGCGAGCGCGACATGTCCGGTGTCCGGTTGCTTTTCACGGGAGCCTAAAATCAAAATCGCAGCTGTGCGATTGCGTGAAAAGGTGGAGGGTTGGTGAACATCTATGATTTCAATGATTTCTACTGTTTTGATCTGCTTTTTGTCGATTTCTTGAGGTTTGAAGCGGTTGCTATGGAAAAACTGGTTGTCGACCATGTGAATTTCAGTCCCCACGAATTGAGCCGATCTGCAATCGGATGTGAGAGGTGAAACTGGAGTTCAAGGCTGGAGCACTGCAAGAAATGGTGCCCCTAGTATTCAAACATGGCTCAGAAATGCCAATGTTATGCCAATGTTCTATGGGAGAATCATCAATTAACATAGATAATGGATGATGTTGCGGACTTGTTTCGTTGCCGGATTAGATTGCAGGAGGGTACCCTCTCAAGTAAGCTGGAAGATGCTGGAAGAGGCAGCTTCCAACAGCCAAAGTCCACCTCCGGCGACAAAAGATTGATATATGGAAAACAACCATGGTTTCCCATCCGGAAAAGGATGAATCTACTTTCACGGTGCCTTTTCCATATCTATAATTATATATATTGTAGCATATCTACTGGAGCCCAATGTCCCAAGCAGCTTCCTGTTGGCCTTTTCATGCGGCGCTGGCGTCGCTATCAGCTGGTTGCTACTGCCTGGGTTCACTTCATCATGAGGTTTGGGCGGAAGTGGAACGTCAGGGACCGCAAATCATCCAAATTGTCTTAAGCCAACAAGGAGTGATTGCTTCTGGCTGCTTGGCAACTGACCACGTGTCCAATATGATCCCATCATTTAGCAGACATTGCAGTTTTTTGTTGAATTGAACAAAAACTCGGCTGGTGATTTGCGATCACCATTGCGTTCACTACAACGGAACTGTCAATCCATAGTCACCACAGCAATGTTTAGTCTTGACCAATCCTCCAAGTGGCGGGTGATTTTCTCAATTATATCCAAATGCAAAAAAAAACTATATCCCCATGGCTACTGGTACATCAAGCTTTGGTTTTCTCACAGAACAGAAAGTCTTTTGGAAGCCTAAACAGCGGGAAACATATGGGAAATATCTCGATCTCAAAAGCCCATCTTTATGCCCTTTTTGATCAGCATTTCAACTGATGACACAGCGATATCTTCATATGTTCCCACAGAATTACTTAAGGATTTGCTTAAGGAAACCCTAAAAATATCAAAGCTATTCCCTGTAGATTTCCATAAAGGGTGGATGTCACATTGGGAAAATAAAGAATCACCCTAAACAAAGCCGGGGGTCACCTTTAAAAAATATCCATGTTACAATGTTATCCATATATTATACACCCATTATAGTTGGTTGACCCCCAGTGTATTCCCCATCACAACTTCCCAAGCGCCCTGGGACTGAGGTCACAGGCTGACCAAAGACATCGCCCACTAAGACCAGCAGCAAGGCCAAGCGTGGACGACTGGCCTGAAAATCCGTCGGAGTTCACAGATGTTCGGGTGTTTTCGGATGGGTCTGACGTGAAAATGATGATCAACCATCTATATAGACCTATATATATCCATAATAGCCAATATGCAAATGAATCGCTTGATTTTCTTGGGGAACATCTTAGCCGCAAACCGCGAACCATGTTTTTTTCCTCAAATATAAGGGGTTCAACCGTAAAACCAACAACTTGTCCCATTCCAAAAGGATGAGGATAGTGGAGTAACAGTAATTTCCATATGATGGAGTGGTGGTTTGCGTTTCTATCTCCAGAATGCGCTATGATTTTCACATTTTCACCTCATGATTTCCAGGTGTCCGAAGTTTCGATCTGTTTTGCAGTTGCCGATGTTATCCCATGAGGATCACATGGATTTTGCGATGGAGATTGGAGGGTCAAAGGCAACCCGCATGACGCGGGTAGGGCAGGTAAGGGCAGGGAACCTGGAGGAGAGGTTCCAATGATTTCGAAAAATGATGTTCAGTGCAGGACTGGGGTTGTTAATGGGTACTATAGTAATGAGTAATGACCAAAGTTGGGATGCAACCCCTAACACTATGTTATGGTTATGTAATTCACTTATTAGTGGAACTGCAACCCCAAATACTATAAATACTGATCGGGTCTTGGACTGTGCGGGTTATTCACCTTGAGAGTAGAACCAATAACCTTCTTTGCGGCCACCTCTGCTGATAAAGACATTCACAGGTTGCTGGTTCATATACAGGTTTATTCCCACCTCCGCCGATAAGTACAGAGGTAAAATTGTCGATGTTCCGCCCCGAAGTGGATATAATTTTCCTAATGTGTTGGAGCAGCCCGATTAGGTTTTTAGTAGCCCCCAGACAAAATCATGTTCCAGGCGATTGGTTTTTTTTCCTCAAGTCAAACATCTCAAAAGCCACCCGAAAAAACATAAACATATTTCCAAACAAATCATCAGATGACCAATGAATAGCATATTCATGACCAATCATCAAAAAATTGATATCTTCTGCCAATTTTTACCCATCTGGGGGTAAACCTTGCCCGCTTCCCACCTCTGGTAGCGATGCTTCAGCGGCCACCAGCCGGCAGCAGATGCGCCGGAGGCGCTGGAGTTGGTATTGGATGTCATCCTCAGCACGCTGAGAGGAACTGGGCGAGTCAAGGTGGCTTGGTTTTCTTGGGAAAATCATGGAGAATGTTCACATTCTAAGTGTAAACTCCAATTTTACCTGGAAAATCGTGTTAAATGATTTAAAATGATTTAAATATCATTAAATGTCCAGTTTTAAATCGGAAATTTTATGGTTTTTTCTTATCATCTGTGTTGGGGTTCGAATCAGACGGTTCCCAAAAAAGAAACAGTTTGATTGGGAGATCCCAACAGGGTCGGGGAAAACGCCACATCCCGGGCCACAGGCCGATGTCCCAAGCCAAGCAGGCAGCAAGTTTGGTATGCCATGAATATAAATATCAGCGTTGACTGAGAAAGATTATATCATACTAGTCATCATGAAAATGTGAATATGATTGAATATGTATCAAATGATGACCATTTATCAATAGTTAAAGTATAGAAATTCGAGTCATCAAGTCATCATTCCGAAAGAAATCCCAAAAATTCGATCTTCACAGTCCTCATACATTTCATATATCCCCATTAAATCACCATTGAATCACCTTTGAATCACTATGAAAGTTACGCTGAAAACACCATCAAAACCGGGCCGCCACCAAGGGTTCCTCCACAAACGCCAGCGCCGCGAAGGCCCACTGCACCGTCAACTCCAGGCCTGGAACGAGATGATCTACAAAGGATGGGGGCATTCTATGTATCTATCAACATGTCTGATCATGTCTGGTTGGTGGTTGACCATGGTTGACCTACCCCTCTGAAAAATATGAACGTCAGTTGGGATTATGACATTCCCAATATATGAAAAAATAAAACATGTTCCAAACCACCAACCAGATGTTATGAGTGGGTTATCCCCTTGTGCCCACTTCAAGGGTGGCGGCATCTTTCATTTTGGTGGAGGCACTTTTGAAGGCCGCAAACAGAAGTCCTTTGAGGGGTTATTGGGCCAACATCTGCCTGGGAAGGTCCTTAGCAATGCCCCCCAGAACAGACATGCGGTCTCACTTTGCTCAGTAGAGATGTATATATATATATGTGTGTGTCTATGTATAGTGTGATATTAAGATACGCATATAAAGAGATATTAATGTGTTTGTGATTTGTTTATGTATATATTGAGATATGTATGTACCAGATATATTAGTGTATCATATTTTATAGTGTCTTTGCTGAGTGTGGAATGACCAGCATTTAAGGATTCATTGGAAAATTTGCTCGTCAACATCGCTATGTCAACATCGATCCTGTCACCGCTCCCTAGAGGTCTATGCCGGCACTAGAGGTGGATGATGAAAATCTCTGCGACCCCCCCAACCCGGCTCAAAAACATAGGGATCTGTGCCGCAAAATCCATGGAATGTGCAGAACTTGACAGCGGCCCAAATCGCAGGCTTCGCCTTCTGCTTCCAATGCACCATCTTTGGATGTCCTTGGATCAGCGTGTTGCCATGAGGACATCCAAAGGGTTTACAAGAATGTCATCAAAAAAAGAAACAGTGTCACCATCTCAGTATACTAGTTGGTTGATAGGTTTCTCTATGAGTTATATAATTATAACAGTAAATCATGATCCCCAATAACCCAGGTAGTTGTTCACTCCCTGTAATACCTAATCAATATAGGATATTTTTAATGGCTCAAATCAGACCCAGTGACTGCGATGATCAAAAACCGGGCTCCAGAAAGCGACCCAGAAAGCGACAAGCTACTCGTAGTCCGCTTCGATCTTGTCCACGGCTACGACCTCAAGGCAGCCATGGAAAACCAGAAAACGGGGGCCATCTTCTCCAAAGAAGTCCACATTGAGGGTTGAATATAAAATGGGGGATCAACAAGTCACAAAACGGGTTTCAATTTACTAAGTTATTGTCTATACAGTCTATACATGTCTATACTGACTTGGATGATTTGGGGTACCCCCATTTTAGAAACCCCCACCAGGAGCTGACAGATTGTCATGATTAAAGAAACATCACAAACAAAATGATCCTCAATGGAATCAATTAAGACTTCTGCAAAGAACAGCCGCATCACCAGGGTCCACCGGATCTGTCCACTGTCCCGCTGCGAAGAAAAGATCTTTTGGAAACATGCGGCCGCCCCAACCGCAGTGATATGTCATGATATTTTGTGTCGCAGGAGGAACCCAAACAAAATCGACGCCTGCAAGGAATGTGCTGAAATATCTTCCTGCAGAGTCCGTTGAGTCCGTGATGAAACACATCACTGAAGTTCCCAGTTCCCACTGTCCCATGATCCCCATATCCGATTATCCCATATCCCAAGATTCTCGCTGAGGCGCAACGAGGTGATTGATTCCAACAAAATCCTGCTTGCACAGGAGCTCAAAGCAAGGTTGATCTTTGGCCACATGCCGTCGCCACTCCTGGGAGAAATAGGAAAGGCTGCCATGGTTCGGAAGCATTCTTCACACTTGCCTGACACAGTTTCATGGACCCGGAACGCACAATCGCGTCAGTTGACCATGCAACTTTTGATTTATGTTGGACTACCTCAATCTTTGGCCATGCGTCTCCGCAAAAATGAAAGTACAGAAAGCCGGACCCCCCCTGGTTAAGCCTTGCAAGCTATACGTGAGTATCAGCCACCATGAGACATAGGTTTGAGACCTTTGGAATGAGGTACCGCAATTCCATCATCACTTTTCCAAATTGCATGGCAATTTCGGGGTATAACATGGTATAACGATGTATAACGCTCTTTGACAAGGCCATCTTTATACCTGGAACCCGGTACTGTTGGCTATAGGAATGGTTGGTTTGATTCCCAACAACGTGTGTCGAGACAACATCCCAATTTTTGGGCCATCCCAAATCTCCATCATTTTTGGGCACTGGGCATCATCCATTGTTTTTTTCGTTGGTAAATTCCATTGATTTATGGTTTATGGTCAAGTTACACGCGTTAATATTATGGTAAGTTATGGATGTTTATGGTCATATACATCCCATTTCCATTGATTTATGTTAACCCTCTGCAAAACAAAGCCATATCACCTCGTCATCCACTGGTGGAACCTCCCATTTTTGCAGGGGAAATCTCCCCTGAATAGCCTCGATCCTGTTCGGAAATGATCCCTTCCCCAATGCTCACCCCACAGAAACCATGGTTTTGTAGAAAATTCACTATTTGGAACCCTTTGGGGGTGTCCAATATAAGGGGATAAGACGGGATAAGATTATATAATAGGTACCCTCCGGTACTCAAAATGGAAAATCTACCATTTGGTTCTTTGATTCTAGCGATATTTTCCCATATTATCCCATGATATTCCCTTAAAATCACCACTGAATCATCAATGCACCTTTGCGCCGTGCTCGGTTGCGACCCCCTGACCCCATCTCCTCATAGGTCAACGACTGAGAGCCGCCCTCCGCACCGCGGCTGTTTTGGGAAAGGGCTCGAAGACTTCGAAAGGCCGCAGCGGTGTCCTCTGCCCAGACCTGGGGACCATCTGGGGACCCACTGGAGAGACTTGCAACGAATTGGGACGAAGAAATTGACCCATACCCTCTGGTAAACATACAAAAAACTATGGAAAATCACCATTTTTGATGGGAAAATCAACTATAAATGGCCATTTTCAATAGCAAACTGTTAGAAATTACCAGAGGGTAGTTTGGTGCTTCGGAACTTCCGTCCATTTCATGCCCAACCAGGATGAAATCCCCATGAGGTGCACCTGACTGTAGAAGTCCTTGGGCACCTCCGGGGCTTGAAACTGCGCCAGCAAACCCCCGGTGCCCTCGCGACCCGTTAGGGGTCCACCCACCTGGGCGAAAGGAGAGTTGTTGGCACCTTCGAAAGCGGGAATGGAAGGAGATCTAAACCCACCATGTGTTTGAACCCATGCAAATCCAAGTTGATTGACTGTTCAAGCTACATCCCAACTTTTGAAAAAAAGTTTAACCCTTCCTGAGCAGTTTCGTGGGAAGTTCAAAGGTTCAAATTTTGGGTTTATTGTCTTGAATAAAACCCAAGTTTGTTGAAGGTTCACAAAGCCACCAAATGGTAAAACCATATATGCCAAGATATACTTTGTGGTTTACCAGATTACCTTGATTGAAGCAACAACATTTGCCATTCAACCAGCAACTGCTTGGGGGTGAGGTTCCAATTCATAAGCAAGTAGGCCATAACTATAGGGGCCACATATCCCAACTATTCCAAACTTATCAGTGTCATGATTATGTGATTGTAGCCATGAACACCCTCCGGAAATCAAGAGTGGCAATGGATAATTATGACAGTTGCCTACTGATAAAGGATTTTCCATGGATTTTGCCACCTTTGACGACCAAAAATTGGGGTCCACCTTCTGTCTGGACTTTCGCTCCTTGACATCCACGTCCATGACCTTCGAAGGGCTTGGAACATGGCCCCCGTCGTCAGAAAAGTGGCTGCAATTTTTGAGATGTTTTGCAATGACATGCAATGACCATGTCATGAGATATGAAAAGCATGGATTTCTGGCAATGCAAACATGAGTTCAATATAATTATGTCAAAAAAAAATGGCAGGACAACTGATGATGTTGCATGAGTTTGTTCCGTTGATTTTCATGGAGAGAAGCCTCTCCATGCCCACCCCCTCTCAAAACATATCTATATATATCTGGACTTGTGAACGATCGTCAACACCATTAAGAAGCCAAAATCCATGAGTCTGACAATATGCACATGGGCCTTTATTATGCGCACTCTTCCTTTTTTAGTTTTGGATATGCTCATAGTTTTAGCCTACAGTATACCTGTGTCTCGTGGTAACCTCAGGTGACACGGCCTGTGGACAATGGAGCCGCTCCCACTGCACTTGCCGCAGATATTCATCCGCATCCTGACCAACTGCCGTAGACTCTGGGATGGGAGGATGGGAGAGGTGCTCAAAGCTACACCGTGACGTACACCTTGGTACAGACCCAGAAGTTGATTGTAAGGGGCAACTGGAGGCACATCCGTTTACAGATACGCTACTTCTGGATGTATGTAGACACCGTTCCCAGTTCCCACTTCGGCCAACCATCATATCATGACGATACCGTGACTCTACACAGGGCTTTCCATGAGCAGAACATCTCCATATCTCCATCCTTAGGTGGTCCCTCGCTCGGTGGCATAGGCGCTCCGGACACCGGCAAGCAGGCCTCAAGTGGTTGGCATGTTGACCGGAGCTATGGTTGGGATGTGTTCTTCTTGTCACTTTCGTTGTTTAACTGATGATCCATGATGATCCCTATGTTTATATCTGCCTTTCTCAGTTCCTTCTATTCTCTATCATCCGTAGTAGATTCATGATGATTCATGCCAAATAACTTTATGTTCCTAAGCCTATAGGATCCATGTATGCTATATATTATATAATATATGGTAACATTTACCATCAATATACCCCCAACGTTAGCATATATACCATACATGGATCCTATGGGAAGGGTCTTACACTTTTCAAATGTGAAATCTCATAGAATATCATAGAATGCTCCTACATTTCTTCCTCCAAAGTTGCGCAAAGGGGCACTACTTCCCATCAGCAGCGCCCATCCCAAGTCCATCCCACGAAGAACTGCAGTGCTTGTCACAAGGTGAGGCCCGGCCACGGAGATAGTGAAGTTGACGAAGTTTACTAAGCTGACCAGGTTAACTATTATATTATTATATATTATTATATGATTTATATGGTTCATGGGGAATATATATATATAATATATATATATATATATTATATAACTTAAACTAGTTGATGGGGTTATAAAATGTTATAAAAACCAACTTATAACCAGGGGGCCTCACCTTGTACTAATGTGTCATTGTTCCCAAGACCCATTTTGTAGCATGCAGAATCTAAGCATCGAAACGTGCTGAAACTTTCACATCTGCCCCAAAGCTTCGACTTCGGGGATGAAAGGCCAGGTTTGGTCAAGTGGTTCACGTGGAAATCTTCGGGATGTGATTAACTTGGAAATAGGCATTGTATGAACATCCCAAATTGTCATTGACTGTGAAATTGAACATCATTGAACATCAATATTGAAAATCCCAAACAATTATTGATTGTGGAATTGGGAACACTTAATCCTTGACCACCGGCCTTTTCGTTTGGCGTTTTTTCAAAAACGCGCCTCCTGCAAGATTTGCTGGTCACGATCCGCTTGCTGTTCATCTTCGTCCACGATCTGTGGTGTGTCATCCCCGATTCCTTTGGTGATTCACCCTTCATCCCATCGAGATTTCTCAGATCGCTCCATAGATCCATGTGATCGAAATCAGGTGATAGTCATGGCGTAACATCCTATCTCCACGGAGATAACCATCAAAAAAAAACAAAAACAAAAAAAAAAACAAAAAAAACACCAAACCAAAAAAAAAAAAAACAAAAAAAAAAAAAATGAAAAGTTGTGATTGTCACCCCAACATTAATAGTAATATTTAGTAATATATAGTAATACATAGAAATACATAGGAATATATAGTAATATATAGTAATATATAGTAATATATAGTAATATATAGGAATATATAGTAATATATAGTAATATATAGTAATATATAGTAATATATAGTAATATATAGTAATATATAGTAATATATAGTAATATATAGTAATATATAGTAATATATAGTAATATATAGTAATATATAGTAAAATATATAGTAATATATATAGTAATATATATAGTAATATATAGTAATATATAGTAATATATAGTAATATATATAGTAATATATAGTAATATATATAGTAATATATATAGTAATATATATAGTAATATATATATATAGTAATATATATAGTAATAATATATATAGTAATATATATAGTAATATATAGTATTATATAGTAATATATATAGTAATAATATATATAGTAATATATATAGTAATATATAGTATTACATAGTAATATATAGTAATATATAGTAATATATAGTAATATATAGCAATATATAGGAATATATAGTAATATATAGTAATATATAGTAATATATAGTAATATATAGTAATATATAGTAATATATAGTAATATATAGTAATATATAGTAATATATAGTAATATATAGTAATATATAGTAATATATAGTAATATATAGTAATATATAGTAATATACATATTATAATATATATATATATATCTTATTATATTATATTATATTATATCATATTATATTATATTATATCATATATATGATATATATATATGTGTGTGTGTGCATACCCATGCAAATTTGGTCAAACTGCACCCCCAAGCAATTCACTGGATTCGGAACATCATCCCTCAGGGGGGAGTTTTTCACCGCCGGTCGGACAGGGCCTCCTCGTATTCTTCGTATTCCTCGTATTCCTTGACATCACCGTAGACCACCTCTTCATCCTGGTTGGGGAGTTGGGGATCATCGTCTCCTCAACATTCTTGATACAAAATAGTAGAAAACATGTGAAAACATCATATATATATATATATGTGAAACCACGAATCAGACCTTTCATGATATGTTACTTGACTTTTTTTGATGTGTGCTGTGGAAAAAAAACAATAAATTGGTTGGCGGCCCATTTGTTTTGGCTCGTCTGGCTGGTGGCTCGCCTTGCCAATGATCCCCCATTACTATCTGGGAGCAGCGGATTTCCTGTATATATATATACATATATATTATGTGTATATATATATATATGTGTCTACATAATTATACATGTAGGTCATCAAGTTTAAGAAATCTGAAAAATCTGAACTATGATTTAAACGTGAGGAAAAAATATTATTATATATATATTATACGAATGATTAAACGCAAATATGTCAGCCCCCAAAACGCTGGAAAAATGAACCCCCAAACCGGCTAATTTGGTCGCTACATTGGCGGCGGTTGCTTGGAGGATACCTACTACAGATCGTAACTGGTAGTGCTACTGGTGATCGGATTCTTTCCATGTCTTTCCCATTTGGAGGTAATTACTCCACACAGAACTGGCTTTTAACATCTTCCAGCAGCTCCCCTTGGACTCTTCGCAGTCCAGGTCGTCCGGTCCGGGGACGGACATCTGTCGTTTTTAGTGGTTTTTATTGGATGAGGTACCAAGAAAGCAAGCAGAAATGCATAAAGGAAATATGATGACATATATGCAATCTCCATCAACAGTACAGTAGGTGTTAATAAATCCCCAAGTAGCAGTAGAATCCCAGAAATAAACCAACATCATTCACTGCGCTTTCTTCACCAGTCGGTTTAGCCTGATTTCTGGGGTTGCAGCCCACCGTGGGCCTCGCTTTGGTCTTCAGGTTCCTTCCAGCTGCGATCTGCTGGAATTTGGATGCAGAACATATGGTGTTTTAATGAGCAGTTCATGGGATTCCAATCAGAGATTCCAATCAGATTGTAATGGAATGTATCAAACAATGATGGGTATATTATATATATATACGTATATACATGTATATATATATACATATCGCAAAATGTATCGCTACATCATGAAATGATAGAAACGACAGCGATTTCTGGATACCAGTGATACGAGTTTCAAGCAGGCCATGGAGTCCCCAGAAAAGCCACTGCATTGGATGCATGGAAGATGCACATGAGCCACTTCATCGATCTACCATGAGATCATCCACCTTGACCCAAAAAATCCCTTTTTCAAATATCTCTCAAAAAAAGAGAAGCGTCCGCTAGTGTTCCACGGGCCCGCGGGCCCAACCACGGGCCCACGGGCCCATCCACGGGCCCACGGGCCCACGGGCTCGCGGGCCCACGGGCCCACGGGCCCGTGGGCTCACGGGCGCCCACGGACTCACGGAACTTACGCCCCGGACCACGGGCTCACGGGGGCACGGAACTTATGCCCCGGACCTGAACATGTCTACCACATTTTCTTAACAATTTCTGCCACCAAGAACTTGTGCCATGGACATGAACATGTCTGAAAAGCTTTCTTATCAAGCTGCTGCACACGAAGATTTAGCTACAAAGCTTTAAGCAAAATTACTTTACTTCGTGTGATCCCCACCATGACATTTATACATTTTCTTACTGGCAAATCTTCTGGCGTTCTATCTGACATATCTTCTGACATTCTATTTGGCATTCTATCTGGCATATCTTCTGGCATATGATCTGGCATATCTTCTGGCATTCTATCTGGCAAATCTTCTGGCATTCTATCTGGCATATCTTCTGGCATTCTATCTGCCATATCTTCTGGCATTCAATCTGGCATATCTTCTGGCATATATTTTGACATATCTTCTGGCATTCTATCTGACATATCTTCTGGCATATATTCTGACATCTTTTGGCATATCTTCTGGCATATCTTCTGGCATATCTATCTGGCATATCTTCTGGCATATTTTCTGGCATTCTATCTGGCAAATCTTCTGGCATTCTATTGTCTCATAGATTTTATTTTCGTCAAATGTGGAGGGGTAAGAATTTTCAAAAGAAACAGAGAATAATTTTTAGATATTATAATATATGTGGGTGGGGTTCATCATCATCTATAGCAAAAAAATAGTCAGCGCATCATCATTAGCAGAAGCAAAAGGCAGCATGAACAAATTTCACTTGAATACTTCAAATTAGAAATGAAAGCAATCCAATCATCACACCATACCATCATATCTAGTATTGACCACTGGGGGTATGCTTGGAAACTTCCGCACACAGAGCGGTTCGCTCCCTCCCAGTGGTCCATTCATATATTTTATGGCGCGAAAACACGGCAGTGCATCTTGGGATTTCACGAGTAGAAGGGGTTGGATCATATACTTTAAAGATATCTGAGCTCTGCATTTATCTTTATATACATATATCTTTATATACATATATCTTTATATACATATACTTATACACACATACTTATACACATATACTTATACACTTAGGTAGAAGATGATAGAAGTATATTAGAAACAATCATTAATCATATGCAAAATAATTGAAATTACAGGTAAGTTCGGGCACCGACAGTCACACAGAGGAGTTCGTAGAAGAAGACCAGAAAACAAAAGGCATTCATTGACCCTGGCCCCACGGGCCCCACGGGCTTGACGGGCTTCACGGGCCCCACGGGCGGGCCCCACGGGCCCGACGGGCCCCGCGGGAACGGAACACTAGGAGACAATGGCCCAAAAAAATCACTGTCAAGTGCTTGTTTTTCATGCACAAACAGAGGCTCAGGCTACAGTATCTACCCTCTGGTAAACTAACATAGCTATGGAAAATCACTATTTTTAATGGGTAAACCCACTATTTCTATGGCCATTTTCAATAGCAAACTGTTAGAAATTACCATCATCCCAGGCCTGATTTGCTCCACGATGGTCGCCATGAATCAGACAAATGGTTGATCGTTTAATCATTGTTGTGGGTAGAATTAGGAAGGGAATACGGAATCATATTATAAAGTATATATAACATATGAAAAATAATCGTAATAATATATAACTAAATAAAACTAATTAATGGGAATATAACCACCAACTATGATATACCACCATTTTTGTTAAGTCGATCCAAATTTTGGCAGGGTCGACTTCACCGCTCCTGGTGAACGAAGATTTGCGGCATTCCAGTCTTCGCAGGGCCCGCCCGCGTCCGAGCTTTCAACATTCCGAGTGAAGCAGTTCTATAAAGTTGAGTTATGTTTACATGATTTTACATGTGTGTATTTGATAATGTTTATATATATATATGTTTATCAATGGGAAATCAGTAAAAATCAAAACCCCGTCCGTATACACATGCGAGATTACGATGATATCTGCACGGCATTACAATGCTGAGAAGAATTGTGAATCTTTCGCTGTGCCAGGATGGTCCATTAAAAAGGGCGCCTACCAGTTTGAAACGAAAGAGAACCAACATGTGTGGCTTGTTGGTTCTCTTTATATCTGTTGCACATTGTTGCACGTAATGGTATGTAAATGTATGTAGTGCTAGCTGGTTGTTTGTTCCTTTGTGGCCAAAGTCAACAAGTGACTTGTTCTCGTTGCATGTCATGCCCTCTTGTGGAACTGTCCTAGTTTTTGAGGGATCCAAACTCGTCAAATAACTCTGGTATGAGATGTATGAGGACAACCTTAGACTGCTAAGGCCTGGTGAAATACCACCTGTTTGATCTTGGTTGATCTTGGTTGACATACTTCTAAGCTCTTCCAAGCAACATAAGCAGCAAAGGCTGCAGAGCAGTCAGTCAGCTGATGTAGCAATGGTGGTGCTTCACCCTGGAATCCATGAGGTTTCCCCTGCGCACTCCCGGTAGTCAGATCCAAAGTTTTACCCTGATTTCACCATGTCACCGTGTCAAAAGGCACAGCAGACGTCACCTTTTTCTCTTTCGAAGCTCATTTCTCCTGGCGTCCAGTTCCCTCATGTGTAGCACTTGGATCCTGTTCCTTGAAATTGAGATGACCGAGGGCTCCTTTGGGTCCTGGTGTTTCTTGGCCCAAAACAAATTGCTGATTTATCGTCCTTTGGCCAAGTAGAAAAGCTATTTTGGGTGCTATGGGTATTCCCAATTTCAAGACAAACCCATATGAAGCTTGAATTCTCACGAAGTCCTAAGTCCATGAACCATGAACCATCATGAACCTAAAAATAATGAAAAAAAAACATGTACCCTCTGGTAAACTAACATAGCTATTGAAAATGGCCCATTTATAGTTGATTTACCTATTAAAGATGGTGATTTTCCATAGCTATGTTAGTTTACCAGAGGGTAGGCTATCTTAAGTGATGAAAGGGTACCATCACCAGCACCAGCCCTTTTTTCGCCACTCCTTGGAACGTTCCTCCACCACGACTGCCGTAAAGTCATCCAGTCGTCCATCCTGGGGAATCACGAAACATCAAAGAAATTCGAACTGGAAAGGCTGGAAAGGTAACAGTGATGTTTACCATCAAACCACAAAGTCTACACAGATTTGTCTGAAAATAAAATGCTGCGTTCCATCCCATGATATCCTATGGCATGCGTTTAGAAAGTCATGTTCCTCAATTGTTCAATGGCCACAACTAAATCTCCATGTTTGGGCAAACACACGTTGTAAGTAGAGGGCAGTAAAAAAAATTGTTGGTTCAAGGTCACAAAATATCTGGCCAACCGATTTCTGAACCCCTGCAAGCCGGGATCCTGTGTCAAAAGAACAATGTTCAAAACTTATTAGGAAATCCACAACATATGTTTTGGTTACTCAGCAATTTACGAAGGGTAGTATAACCCTAGAACTAATCACATGTGTTTGACAGTTAAGACGCGCTAAAACCACTGTAAATAATTTATACGAATCCCTTAAAAAACCTCATCAAACATGTTTTTTTACTATCAAAAAACATGTTGTGCTCTTTTAAAGCCCAATCTTTGGTGGCCACAAATCCTCAAAATTCACAAGTGTCGGTGAGCCGCCTCAACAGCCTTGTACTGCTCTCGAAGGCTGGCCAATTTCCTGGCATGATTCGGATACCTATGGTGGGGTGGATCAAAACCTATCTTACCCCTTTTCGCAAAGGGGTGAACATTGAAAAACAAAAAACAGCTCTTGGGGAGGATTCACCAGTGGTACCAAGGCTTTGACTACCAAAATGATTTCGAGTCGGGCTGTCATGTGAAAGGCTTTTCCCATCTCTGGTTGCTGGTTTCCATGCCACTTGTTGATTTCAGTCTTTAAGGTGTGGTCAGATTTGGGCCACCGGTTGTACACTTTCAAGGGGTTGACGTTTGAATCCAAGACCTCTTAAGTTTTCGGGTTCAAGTTTTGGTTGATAGCCTCTGGTAGCCTAAGCTGGCAATGAAAAAAAATAGGGCTTCCATTCCATATTCAATATATTCACAGATGCATTTAAGATATCAATCTGGGTAAGTTATAATAATTCATTAACCTGAATAGTGGGGCCATTTGGGGATGATTTCCCTTACTAACCATGATTCCAGGCTTCGGTCACAGTGAGGTCGTGATGAAATTTACCCAGATCAATATATCAATACATATCGTATGTGGTAAATAATCAACCAACCTGAGGGGGATGGTTCTTACATGTTCTTACCACCCATCTATAGTTATATAATATAGCCTCTGTTTATGACTAACAGTTTGCCATGGTATAGTATAGATGGCCCATAGAAATAGATGGTTTACCGTTCTTAAAAATGGTGGATCTTTCCATGGCGAACTGTTAAATAACCAGATGGTATATATTATATATATAAGGGATGCCTTATGATTGACCTCGCCAAATAAAGTAAATGGCAGGAAATCTCTAGTACGGTCACTCTGCAGAGAAGGCACTTGTCGATGTCCATGACATGCGCCTGGCGATGTCTGGATCATCGCTCGCCAAACTGGTGAAGGCCCAAGTGATCATGAGATTTTACATGATTTAATCAACACCAGTGGTAAAAAGGGAATATAATCTATAATTATATTAATATGATTTAATGTGGATAATGATCAACCCAACTACAAGGTGCCCAGTTCGTTGGCTCAGTTGCTGCAAATAACTCGCACGGCTGAGGCTTATATATAATGCTTTGGGGACTTTGGGGATGGTTTTGGTATCTCGAACTAGTTGATGATGTTGATGATGTTGATGGACTTCGCAAAGCAACAACTCTGGGTCATCCCATCTTTTTGACATCGAACTTGGGAAACTGACCACACAGTTGATATCCTCCAAGTGCCGGCTGGGATCATGCTGAGCTAAGTGGCACCACTGGGTGATCTCCCACTGGAGACAGCCGAAAGCTAAATCAAAGCTAAGTCAAAGTTGGGTCGCCGCTGGTACCACCATAGATATTTCTAGTTAAAACTTCTCCAAGACTGGAGTTCATAAGAGTTAATAACCCAAGTCCGGCTGTAGTGTTGATTGAAAGTTGAAACTAGAGTAAGAAGAGCTGATGAAAGAACTGAAGTTGAAATGGGTCGACTGTTCAAGGGCCCCACATCGATCCGGATGTCCGCCATGGACAGACTTCCAATTGCAGCGAAGCCACTACAAATCGGCGAGCTGATCTTGGACTGCAGTGCTGTCGCCACCATTCTTTGGATCACCCCAGGTGACAACCGAACCATCTGCCAGAACGGCTGCAAATGCGTCAGATGTGGCCGCAATTTGCTGTACATTCCTCAGCTGACCTTGCACTGCAGAGCTGTCACCACCTGTGACTGGATCGCCCCATGTCACCACTGATCCATCTGCAAGGATCGCTGCGAACGCTGTATGTGTGGCCTGAACAAGCCGCACATTCTGAAGCTCGTGTTTAACTAAAGAGCTGTCACCACCATAATCTGGATGGCCCCAAACGACAACCGATCCATCTGCAAGGATTGCAGCGAAAGAGAAGTGTGTAGCCTGAAGCTGCTGCACATTCTTAAGCTGATCTCGAACTAAAGAGCTGTCACCACCATGAGCTCGGGATCCCCATGCGACAACTGATCCATCTTCTAAGATGGCAGCAAAAGCATGGGATGTGGTCTGAATCTGCTGCACCCTGAGCTGACGGACTTCTGTATCGCAAACACCTTCTGTATCTCCCCACATATGGATGGATCCATCTGCAAGGATTGCGGCAAATGCAAAATGTGAGGCACATACCTGGATGACATTCCGAAGCTGGTGTTGGACGGCCGAGCTGTCTCCGCCAAAACTCGGATCGCCCCATGTTACAACAGATCCATCTGCCAGAATGGCGGCGATCGCATAGTGTGCCGCATGAACATGCCGCACATTCTGAAGCTGATGTTGAACTAAAGAGCTGTCGCCGCCAAAAGTTGGATTGCCCCAGGAGACAATGGAACCATTTGCCAGGACTGCAACAAATGCGCAGTTGGTCGCGTGCACCTGCTGCACATTCCAAAGCTGATTCTGGACTGCAGAGCTGTCACCACCATAATCTGGGTTGCCCCAGGTAACAACCGAACCATCAGCCAGGATGGCAGCAAATGCAAAACCTGTGGCCTGAACCTGCTGCACCCTTCTGAGTCGACGTCGGACTGCAGAGCTGTTGCCACCAGCGGCACCATTGCCCCATGTCACGAGCGCATCACCTCCACAGCACCACAGCGCAAATGCGCTTTCTGTTGCCGCTAGCCTAGCTTGTGTTGCAGTTGCTATCAGGCTATCTCCCTCCTGAATTCCTGCTGCCCGCAATGATTTTGCATGATCACTTAGGGCTTGGCCGTCTGCTGTAATCAGCATCAAGAACCGCTGTCCAAAAGATCGTTGTACCAGACTTCTCAACTCCTCTACTTTGGAGGATTGAGGAACTGACAGGTTTTCACTGCGACCGCTGGGCAAAGCTACATTTATTTGAATCATCTTCTAAACATGGCATAAAACACAGAACACTACAGGGTCCTGAACATATCTTGAGCCAAACAAAATGCAGCTTGGTAGATCTACCTTTCCATAAATGATAAGTTCCCCCTACAAATAGAGCCTATCCAACTGGATCCAGAATGCCTGCTTTTGGTGGACCCAACATCTCCCTTCGGCGCATGCTTTTACTGCACAACTGAACTGAGTTCTGTTTGCTATGTCAAACAAGATTGAACAAGGTTGCTTTCTGCTGTACATCTCAGAACTTCCAAGAAAATCCAAGAACGCATCCATTGATAAAGTCTCAAATTTGGATATGTATATCATACATAATATGTATATTATGTATATTAATATATAATTAATATACATATGTACATATATATATATATTACAGTAATATGTGTATAATCTATTATACAATAAAATACAAAACCGAGCATATAATGTGGTGTATTTCCACAGTTCAGAAACGCTCATCCCAGCGAGGCCGGGCCCCTTCGGGGCCTCGTGGTCTTGTGCCTGCCAAGTCATCGGGGTTTGTCTCGGGCTCAATCGACTGGGGAATGACATAATATCAATCGACTGGGTTCAATAAATAGATGATGAAGCTTTGTCATGATATATTGATCATCCTATAAATAGATCATTATAAATAATATCAATAATCCTATTGGTTCAATAAATTGCTAATTAATGATCAATAGATCAATAGGATGATTAATATGGGATGTTATTTTTTTTAATGGGATGATCAATAGAGTGATGAAAATTGCATTGATCATATGGGATGCTGAAAATAGATGCTGAAGTTTAATTTAAATAGATTAGTTATTACAGTCTTAAATTCACTATATAGATTATTCATGGTTCCATCATGTTCCATCCCCATGATTCCCTTGCTGGATTCATCCGATCATCATCTTTTTAATCGAAGTTCCCCAACTTTCAACTTTCGTCTGAAAATCTTTCTTTGGAAAAGCCAAAAAAAAACATTAAAAAAAACCTATGGATCGTCGTTTCTGCTTGGAGCCAATCAACCGATGGATATGGATGGCCCTCCAGGACTGGCTTTGGATGGTGCCCTGAAGGCTTCCCTGAAGGCTTCCACCATGTTCCCATTTCTTGCTCGCACGCCGGAGTAAAGTGGCTATCAAAATGAAACACTTCTGATTCTGGGAAAAAAGAATCTTGTCGATTCTATTCACCATATATTCACCATCTGATTACATCTGGAGATTCATAGAACATAATATTAGATTACATAATACCATCTAATCTAATACCATCTGATATTACATCATGTCATGTTCTCTCCATCTGCCATGCACCTCTTTGAACTCTCCTCTGGATTGAGCCCATCCGTGATGGTAGACCGCATCCTTCCTGCTTAAGGCTTCAGACCGGGCCCCCAAATCAGATGGGTTATGATGGGTTAAGGGTAAACCTCATCCCTTGGATATGGATTATCATGGATTATCATAACAGAATGATACAAAATGACAAAATTGTTTGTATGGTTCACACTTTGCAGTTGATCATAGTTGATCAGAGGATTGGCTTCAGGGGAAATTCTCCGAGAGACCATGGTTTTTTGTTGTTAGTCATCGTAGGTGGTTCCTGAGCATTTGTTTGCCATCGTCCACCTGCCCTGCTGTGTCACTCCTGATGGAACGCAAGTTTTCCTTAGGCTCATGGAAAGTCATCCATCAGTGAGTGGTGTGCAACCAATGTACAACCCATGTAGAACTGATATTCAATGTATGACTGGGGTATAATCTGGTTTATTAGGATCCACTTTCGATTCAATGCACCCAAACCCGGAAAATAACAGATCCCCAAGCAGGGAGCTCAAAGCTCCGTGCGCAATCAGCCAGAGGATTTGTTTCTGACAAGAATTCTGCTGTGCACGGTGTGAAGAATCTGTGTTGATGTCTCCATGTTCTATGTCCCTACTGGATGCAAATTAATGTCATTTCCGGTTGGCCGGAAACAAAGTCGGGGCTATTTCCAAAGAAACATGGAAAGTAAACATTTTTAGTGGTCCCTGTCATGAGACAGGATGGAAAAGTAAAATGTCCACTATTTTCATGTTCTACTTTGTACTACTTTCTCATCTTTGGAGTTCGACAGCTGGGACTATCACATTTGATGATTGTCTGGCAGGCAATGTTTGATTAGCAAAGGGTAGAGCCAACTTGTTCAAAAGAATCCCGAAAAAAGACAAAAAAACATGCAGGTTTGATCTCCAAGTGTCATACTCTCCATTAATGGCATCTAAGCGAGCTTGCTTTCGCTGCCACCGACGAAGCGACTGATAGGCCCTCAGCTGCGGCCCAGGACTGATGACCGAAACGTATGCGTCAACTTCTTCCAGACCCAAAACCACCAATGATCTTTCAGTTTAGTCTTGTTGAGTATTCCGATTCCTCAAGATCAGAGTAGATTTTGGCTGAAATAGCTGAGCAACTCCCAAAAAGATGCAGAAAAAGTCAAATCAAAATCAAATTAATTCAAAAAATAGTGATCTGATAAATTCTTCCCCTCTTTCATCCTTGGTGGATTTGGAACAAAACCTTTACCCTAGATCTGAGGAAGCAGCCGCGCAGCAGCCAGCACCACCAGGCTAGTCACCAATAGCAGCGGAATGCACCACAGCCACGGCGCCGTCGCCATGGTGCTCTGGATCTAACAGGGTCACCCGTGGTCACCCCAGTCACCTGCTGTGGATGTTCCAAACGAATGTCCGCCATCTCCAAATTGGCTATTTAGAGCCGATTCTCGAGGTAAGTCGGTGAATATGGTGAATTAGATATGTTATGTTTTTGAAGAACTGGAAGGTCTCCGCGCAGAATCTGTGACTCACGATTTTTTTTTGCAGCTTCTGCTTGGTCAGCCATTTGCTCAGCTAGTCCAATGGGGCACGTTGCGCTCTGGGGGAGACCAGGTGTCGTAGGTGTCCACCCAAACCCTGCCACGGTTTTCGCAATTCACGCAAGGCATGTTGCGCCTTAGGACTCTAAACCTTTGGGTTACAGTACATGTCGCGATCAATACTGTCAATATATCAATTTCATTGACCCATCAAATTTTGCGTATGTGGATTGGGTTCGTTTCTGGTTCTTTATGCTACTGTAGGGAATTGGTTCATCCCAGTTCATAAGTGGTCTATCACCCCTACCTAACATCACTGCGGATATTGGCATGACTGGGTTCCAGTATTCCCCACTTGCGATGCCCCCAATACACATCCAAGTAGTGCTCAGAAAAGTTCTGCCTCCTTTTTCTTTGAGCCTCGCAGGCTGTTTCAGGTGCTTTAAGCAGCTGAAGCGCCTGAAGCCACCAAAGCTGACTATGTTGCAGGAGAGGTCCTGGGTGTTGACAAACAGTTTGGATGGCTATGGAGATCCGGGGATATATCACCCATTTGTTTCTCCGAACATATTCCCATCATGCTGGTACCTTTAAGCTGTCTCTGAGTTCAAGAACTGCTGGTAGAATGGTTCAAGTTGCTTCAGATTCTATCACGCTTCACACAGACTTAGCGAGAAGATCTATGGCTCAAAATTCAGAACTTGAAGGCCACTTGAGTGGGGATTGTCCATTCTCTCAATTGATGATATTCTACTTCTGTTTCTTTCAATATATTTGGGCACACAAATTCAGACAAATCATTTTGAGCCAAAGCTATTGTGCAATCCTGTGTACAAGCAGAGGTTGCGATTCACTCTGTCAAACTCCGATCCTGCTACTGACTGATGGTCTGAACAGTCTGTGTATGTATCATATATTATATAGCATTATATATATAATATATATATACTATATATATATAACTATATAACTATATTATATGTTATATATAATATATTATATAGCATTATATTAAATGTATATTATGCAAGAATTGATCCTGTGAGACACACAACTGAGAACTGACGAGAGATGCAATCGCAACCCCAAATTCAGCAGGCGGTTTTTGGGCGTGGCTCAACCACAAATCCTCTCCGCTGGCGACCGGCTCGGATGGCTCAGTCAACCACGTCTTCGAAGAACTCTTCGTAAACCACTTGGCAGATTCTGGTAGATCCAAGTTCTTGTGTGAAAGGATGACTTCATCTAAACCAAATTCAAGATCCAAACACGAGTTAAGTCCACTATTCAACTGAGACTCTACTATACTCTGCTGCAATTTCCAGATTTACGATTTTCAAGGCCTAAAAATTCAAAGGTGGCCCAGGCCTCAGCCCACCTTGATGAGGCGAATGCCCTGGCGATGCCATGGCGAATCGACCGTCTGAAATTTCGGGGATGTTTCGGGATATAGATGGAGATTCATAACCATAGTTATAGGGGGGTATAATATATATACCCTCTGGTCATGACTAACAGTTTGCCATGGTATAGTATAGATGGCCCATAGAAATAGGTGGTTTACCGTTCTTAAGAATGGTGGATCTTTCGATAGCGTTTACCCTCTGGTAAACATACAAAAAACTATGGAAAGATCCACCATGCTATCAATGGGAAAATCCACTATTTCTATTGCCATGTTCAATAGCTATGTGACAGTTTACCAGAGGGTATATATCTCAACGTGAAAATATCTGGTTGATGAATGTTAATGATTCCCAGCCTACCTGTTACACTGTTGTTTCATCCCTGAAATACGTACGTCCTGTGGATGAATTACCATAATGATCCCATGTTTTTCTTTCCAGATCTGGTGGTAAGTACACTTGCTAGGAAAACTCTCGGGCTCTTCATGTGTATCCCAACTAGTAGCACAAAAAAACAGCACAAACTAATTCGATAATTTTCATAGATTTGAATAGTATATTACCCTCTGGTAATTTAACGTAGCTATTGAAAATGACCATTTATAGTGGATTTTCCCATTAAAAATGGTGATTTTCCATAGCTATGTTAAATTACTAGAGGGTACATCTAGTTGGTGTTACGAATACTGTTACGAATGGGGAATAGCAACGGCATGCGACATCCGGCCGTAGAAGCTGCGACATCTCCGGCCTTGTTGGTGTACCATTCCTTCCTGCCGATGTCCCACATCTGCCATTCTCCCAAATTGCAGGGGATGGCCTGACGCGAAGGTATTCAAACAATGATAATACCCGCAGGTCAACTAAGCTCAGTACACTACACATAGGTTCTATAAGACATATATATTATGGTATATGATTATCATGATAATAATGATATTATTATATATTATTATCATGATTCACGATTCTAAGACAATCTAAACAAAATGGTTGAGAAAATCCACCAATGTCCGAAGATTTTCCCATCAAAATCTGTCCGTTGTTAGTTTTTTTTCAACGGCCGGGACCTCTAATCAAACAGCCCATGGAAAAACCTGATCAAGCCCAGGGAGATATAGGTCAAGGCTGAAGGCAGCTGCCCATTCTTAATCCCAAACCCATACATTTTGAGGACTTTTGAGGTACCTGTTGATATCTGTTGATCAAGACACCTTGGATGAAGATTTTGGGGCGCTCATACCAACTGAAGCTTCATCATTGGTTTCAGTTTATAACGGCTACAATTCATCTTGGTTGTAACATGCTGTAACCATCGAACCCAAAAAAAAGTCTTGGACTATTCATATTCATATTCTTACCTATGGGGGTTGCAGCAATTGGGACTTTATGGGATTGGGCTATACCCCCACATGGGTATTGGTCAAAACCGTGGCCACCTTGCCCAAAGCAATGCCGAAATGTTTTGCTAGGATGTTATTCATGATGTTTTCCCATGTTCATTAAATTTCCAGATTTCCAACTGTTCTATCCGTTTTCATCAATAATGTCGTTTTGGTAAAAATAGAGGGGCCGGGAGCTGGTATACCATCTATCATCAAACAAACCTGTTGTTAAAGTAAACTAACATAACTATTATGGAAAATCACCATTTTTTATGGGAAAACTCAATATAAATGGCCATGTTCATCCTATTCGTTTTGTATTTTTCAAACGTTGCACGGCCTCTTCGACTGTGAAGCACTTGGCATAGATCTCGATGGCACCAATGGCGGGACCTTGTCCCGCTGCGAGCGAAGACGTCATACTTTTCGGACCGAAGTCAAAGAAAAAGCTCATGGAAATGACGTTTCTTTCAGAGATCCATCATGATCACCATCTGGTCCCAAGATATCTATAGATATCTGATTTCTGTCTGTTACGGCCCGAAATTTTAGGGACCGGAACCTCAAAAATGGAACCAACCATTTTTTCAACGACCGTTGGGACAGTTGGGATATGTTGGGATGTGTTGGGATTGTGGGGATTCTCGCAAACCTACACCATTGTTTTTCTTCTCGTCAAGGCCTGCCCCCCCAAGCCCCAGTTGGGCTCAGTTCGGGCCCCGGCCGATGCACCAAGCGCCCCGTCGGTCCTTGGTAGACGCTTAAGTTGTCCGGTGCGATTTTCAGGAACAACTCATGGCCCCCTACAACAAAATAATGCTGACACCACCAACTAATCGGGGTTCAGAATGTTCAGAACCTCAGAATTTGGGAATGTAATCTATATTATAGTGAGGCATATTTGGATATGAAGTGAGGATATAGTGAGGATATTAGGATATCTAATTGGATTCAATTGGATATGAAGTGAGGCAATCCTCGTAACACTGTGGGGTCAAACTGGTGGTCAAAATCTTGGTAGCCTGGTGATCCCAAATTTGCGCGCAATGTTTGGAACTTTGGAACTTGGGAGCAATGGTTAGTCTCTAGTTTTTCATCTCACCGTTGGGGAAATTACACTTTATCCAGATTTCAGTTTTCACATGTTTTCACTAGTTCAATTTTTAATTTGCCACATCACTACCATCTTTTTTATTCCGAGAAAAACATCGAAAAACTAGGTGTATCACCAGAAAAACTAGGTGTATCTATGGTGTATCACCAGAAAAGTCCTGAAAAGTCAGCCCTGCCATGCCTTCATGGCAGCCCTTGACTTGGTCGTCCCAACATCGAAGAAGAGGAACCAGTTCTCCTTCGAGGCCAGAAGCTTCGGGTAGACCATGACGTCCTCGGCATCCTCCGTGGGCCTTGGAGCAACTTGTGCCGTTTGTTTATAAGGCCACCTGGGAGAGAAAAAATGGAAAGATACCCAAAAGACATCATCATATATCAATATATATATATATTATATATATCCATAATATATATATATATCATGATGATTCGGATTTTGATCATTCCATTATTTCATGTTGATGACTCATGTTGATCCTGAGCAAATTATGTTATCTTCACACCAAGGGCGCCGCGACTCTCTGGTGAAATTGCGCTGGGGGCAGAACACTTCACTCACGGTCTGGAAACGCCTCGCGGAACTCACTCTGGTAACACATCAAAAAGCGCCAGGTGGTTTCAACCCATCCCAAAAGTAGCACCAGAACTGGTAAATTAACATAGAGAATGGTGGAAAACAAGCATGGTGTCCCATCCGGAAAACAAATGATCTACTTTCATGCTGGGTTTTCCATATCCACGTGGAAATATACCATTAATCAAATAAAATCATCACATTTCTTGGATTGAAATAGACCTTGGCCGACTGTCTAGTCAGGGATGCCAACCCAAAACATGATTAAATCTGAAATTACAAATGGTTGCCCCCCAGCTCAATCAACCAGGGTCGACATTCATCCAAGCCCAAGACTGCCAGACTCAGAAAGCTCCAAATGTCAAAGAACGTTCTTTCAGGCCGAGAGAATAGTCAAAAATAATCAAAAATAATGTAAAAGAAAACATAAAGAAAGGTAGATTCATCCCTGGCCTCTCAGAAAGCAACACCCGTCGCCATCATCATCATCATCAACAACATCATCATCATCAACATCATCATCATTTCCAAAACAACCGCTTGACGACCAAACCTGAAAGTGACAACAGAAAAACTGTCGGGCATTCCTCTTTGGCCATCTCAAGGCAGGGAACTTGGGGATTTTTTGAACCTCTGCATTGACTGCGGCTATGGATCAGACTTTTTGGGGCCAAACGGCCATCAGATGGTGATTTTTTGGAGAAAGCATCCGTTTTTTCACATGTTTTCCACATGTTTTCACATTCCATTGGAGTGCAGATTGACCCATAGCTCTTAGTCCCGAAGTCTGAGCCTCGAAAGCACCAGGGCTTCTTGTGAGCGTGGCTTCCAGACACGGATGAACTTGTCCTCAAGTCGTCACTAGGCGGACCCTGAAATCACTCAAGATGCAGGGAAAAATGAGCAATTTATAGCAATTTCCTCCGGGTATCAAACCTGGCCACCGAAAATCCCCTACAAATGGAGGTTTAGTTCGCTGGGAAAAGCATCTCTGAATGGAGGATGTTCCTTTGCCATGGTTGATTCCCTGACAACGAAAATCATGACGGATTTCACATGACGGATTTATAGCCAACAATTATGTGCCAGAAGTCACCATGAAAATTAAAAAAATAAATTTGGGGATATTTGGGGATTGTCGATTTTCAACATGATCAACATGTGGACGGAAATTGAAAAACTCTGTGGTTTTCTGGATCCTACCGATTTGGTAAAAATCGAGGTATACCGGAGCCAAAAAAAAATACGTGGCTAAAAACGCTCCTCTGCGGTAAGTTCCAGGTCGCCGGTCTGGCACGTTTGTCAAATCGACTTGGACAGAGTGGACCTGTTCTTCAAACCTGTTTGGACCCGGGAAGACTAGAAGTAGACGTATTTATCATATAGGTATATCACAATCATTCATAGTCCTTGTACAAGTGGTTTACATCTCAAGGTAGAAATGACCAGCCATGTGTCAGTGCCCGATTCTATTTGCCAAGTCACTAAAGTTCAAGCCATTCGTGTTGCCATTCCCCATCAAAAGTCATCAAAAAAAAGACCCAACTCATTCTACTCCTCATTTCATTGTGGTTTATCAGTTGATTACCACTGCGGCAGAATGAATCATTTGAGGAGTGTTCAAAATATCGGATTATGATGATCCCCAATAACTATCTGACGGGTAGCAAAATCCCCGAACTCATCATCAATCAACAGGGGTTTAGCAGCCGCCACAACCTGCCTCTGTCACTTGGTGATTCCTCACTTGCCGCCTGAGGCGTTTCTGTGGCGGCATTGACGTTACGCAGAATTCCATGGAAACTGTGGAAAAAGTGCCTACAATGGAAATGATGGGAATACCAATCAGCAAAATCTCCACCGTTTGGAAACTCAGGTTCCCTATGAGAATATATGAGAATAACACCATTTTTTTGGAGGTATCCTCCATTGTGAGACAACCCCGAAGATCTTCTGTGGGCCTTAGTTGACCCCACCAACAGGACCTGTTGGACCTGCTCATTGCTTCACATGATTCACGGAGAGGAGGAAAACCGGAGATGTTCACCAACAGTGATTGGACATTGATGGCAAATCCCAGCTATTTAAGGTATCTGAACAAAATCACCTGTACTTGGAAGCACCAGGAAGCAACTCAGGCTGGCTGAGTTTTGGATCTAGCTGGAGTATGGCGATTTTGTGCAGGTGTCACCAACACGAAGCAGAGATTGACATGGATTTTTAAAAGAGAAATGAGATGTCGGTGTCAAAATGCTAATCTCGAAAAATTACTTTACTTCGTGTGATCCCCACCATGACATTTATACATTTTCTTACTGGCAAATCTTCTGGCATTCTATCTGACATATCTTCTGACATTCTATTTGACATTCTATCTGACATATCTTCTGGCATATGATCTGGCATATCTTTCTATCTGGCAAATCTTCTGGCATTCTATTCTGGCATATCTTCTGGCACTCTATCTGAAATATCTTCTGGCATTCTATCTGGCATATCTTCTGGCATATATTCTGACATATCGTCTGGCATCTATCTGACATATCTTCTGATATATTCTGACATATCTTCTGGCATATCTTCTGGCATATATCTTCTGGCATCTTCTGACATATCATCTGCATATCTTCTGGCATATTTTCTGGCATTCTATCTGGCAAATCTCTGGCATTCTATCTGGCATTCTGGCATATCTTCTGGCATATTCTGGCATTCTATCTGGCATATCTTCTGGCATATCTTCTGGCATATCTTCTGACATCTTTCTGACATTCTTTCTAACTTTCTTCTGCACATTCTTTGTCCCATATCTTCCTACATGAGGTCCGGCAGGGAACACTTGGCGTGGATACTCGCGGTTGAGGTCCGGCAGGGAACACTGGGCGTGGATGGTCGTGGTTGAGGTCCGGCAGGGAACACTGGGCGAGGATGGTCGTGGTTGAGGTCCGGCAGGGAACACTGGGCGTGGATGGTCGTGGTTGAGGTCCAGCAGGGAACACTGGGCGTGGATGGTCGTGGTTGAGGTCCGGCAGAGAACACTGTGGATCGCGGGTCGCAGTTGAGCAAGGACGACGAGGACAACGAGGAGGACGAGGAGGAGGAGGAGAGGAGGACGAGGCAGGACGAGGCGGAGGAGGAGGAGGAGAAGGAGGAGGAGGAGAAGGAGGACGAGGAGGAGGAGGAGGACGAGGAGGCAACTGACATAAAATCTAACAACCCTCACCTGGCAGGTGGGGAATCAACGTTCATCATTCTGACTAAATAGATAATCATCATTTTGGCTATTCATGATTACAGGATATTACAGGTGATTTTAAATCATAATTAAACTTGAAATCCCTCATGCAGTTCGATGATTTTCCCAGCAAACACCGCCCCACGACAGGTCGCACCTCTCCATGATCTTCTGGTAGACAGGCCGACCGTGAAAATCCTGGATGGGATGGAAAACCAAAAGATCTGCACCATGGAAACATCCCCAAATCTGGAATGAATCTTGGGTCATGGGAAATCCTCCAAAAACTCACATCAACAATGGTCTTAATTAACAGCCTTAATGTATGTATGTATCCCCTTTTCACATGTCAGGTCGCTGGACTCAGATCACTCTCTGCCTCGTCGAATCGCTGGTAAAAGCCGTTGATGCCCATGTTCCCTCGATTTCTTTGCTTGTGACCTTGCGGCGGGGCCCAGCCCACGGGGATCCACGGGGCCACAACGGACCATGGGCTCAGGCTATGCCCAGTTCTTTAGCACTTCCGACAAGTGTCTATGAGGGATGATGAATCAATGATTAAAGAGTGTCAAATCCCGATGTTTCATTCGTTACCCGTCCAGTAAACGAACAATGGATTCGATAGATATGGAAAATCCATCGTCTGCATATAGATCACTTATCTACACCCATGGATGGCCATATGGGTTTGCCATTGTTTGTCCCCATTTTCAGACACACCCAAATAGCATAATATGAAGTTGGTTACAAATTCGATGTTCATTTCCCAGTTTAAACATCTTTAAAAGCACCATTTTCATCAAATTTCTTGGTGAGGTCACCACCGTTTCCGTTACGACCTGTCACGATGATGAACTGCGGGATGTGCCGCGGTCTCGGCTTCCCGGGGCAGCTCCATAGAGCCCCGGCCTCAGGTGCTGGATGAAGGGTATGGTTCTCCAGATATGGTTATGATATGGGTATCATTGCTGATATATGTGTACATATGTCTGCATGCCTGTATGTATGTCTGTATGGATGTATGAATGTTTGAATGTATGTATGTATGAATGTATGGATGTATGGATGCATGCATGTATGGATGTATGGATGTATGGATGTATGGATGGATGGATGTATGTATGTATGTACGTATGTACGTATGTACGTATGTACCTATGTACCTATGTACGTATGTAATGTAATGTAATGTAATGTAATGGTATGTAATGGTATGTAATGTAATGTAATGTAATGTAATGTAATGGAATGTATGTATGTTATCATGTTATGATATATACATGTTATCCCGGACTATTTTGTATGGTCATTATGATATGGGTCATGGTTATGATCCAGTGATACGAGTGACTCATTGGATCATTGGATGTTTATGATATGAGTATGGGTCAAAACTCAAGGCTTGGGAGAACACAGAGATGAGTCTATTTCTAGTAACCATCCAATGATTCGGGTAGCAAATTTATGATGTGAATGTGTAAAGTGGTGGTGGATGAGCACTTGTTGGTTTGTGATTGTTTAATCAGCTACATCCAAAACATACCTAAGAGTTATCGTCTTGCTGAGGATTATGCTTGATGTTCAGAGATCGTTTGTTCATCCTGGATCGATCATCTGAAAACATCTTCCCAAGCCACGTTTTCGATGTGTTGTTTCCGTTCACATCTCGTGGAAAGTTTTTGAAGAGCACTGGTTTGTATCCACTTTTGAGGTAGAATCTGGTAGAACTCACTGCAAGTCTTTTGAATCATGTCGAGTCTTTTTAGGTCTACAGGTGCTACTTGTGATCCATGAAATGTCAATTGAAATGTCCATATATAATCGCCATATAGTCTCCATAGATAGAATCCCTATAAAATACCCCCCAAAAAGATGCCGAAAAGTGGACGGAACCAGGAAAGAAAATCCATCATGTTCACCTCATATTTGGAGGTGTCCACAATTGGCGACTGTGGGGTTGCTCCATAAACCCCTTGGGTATTCCAAGGTGCTCCATCAATACCGCATCCTCGTGCCGAACGAGCGCCCTGGAAGCTGCAGGAACCATCAGCAGTTGGTTTGTCCGTAAAAAAAAAAGTGCCATAGCTTACCCTCTGGTAAACATAGCGTATGCGACATAGGACTTTGGCCATAGAAATAATCATGATTTACCCATTAAAAATGGTGATTTTCCATAATTATGTTAGTTTACCATAATTTAAGTGTTGCTGGTCTTAGTTTTTCCACCGGCGTAACTTAGTTTTGGCCTCTCCGAAGAACAGGACTGCGTTGAACTTGATGAGCGGCCGGCGCTTGACCTAGGGGTCAATCACTCCGGAGTGTAGATCATGTTCCTAGGGAAAACCTTGGTTTTTCCACAGGGGTATGGGTTGAGACCCATGATCTTCCAAATATTTGTTTGGGGGCATGAACATCCACAAACAATAGCTCGTTGCGAGCACAGGCACATCTATCTTGGCTGGATCGCACCCTGCTGTCGTCAGGAAATCCCCATTTGTAGTAGCTAAATCACAGCGGGCGGCTGATTTTCCATTGCCAGACGTGTTCAATTGGAGGGTAATAGTGATCAAAGAATCCTACTGAAACCGTTTACGAAGTTATGAATTGTTCGTAGCCGGGGACAGATTCTCAATAAAACCCAGCTATGTTTCGGTTAAGAACTGGTGTCGGCGGAAGACTGCATGGTGTCTATCGTTGAATATTCATTTTTGTACCCGGAAAGCGAAAAGATGTGAATAGCATTGCATCATCAATTTCAAGGTCTGGGTGTCTGTGTGAGTGTGATGTGGCTAGTGAATACGTTCTGAGAAACCAACGTCCTCCCAATTCGGACATCTTGAACATATATATATATATAGTGTGTGTGTGTATACCTATGTACAGTATATCACAATGATAAGTAGGGTCTCCCACATATTTGTACATATCTCAACATACTCATATGACTATGGGTCAAAACCCTGATACTCTGGTGAACATCAAAATAGATGGTAAATCATGGTAAATCGATGTTCCTCCCAAAATCTGGTAGAGGTTTTACCTCAACTCCCGCAACCCCATATGGTCATGTTGTTGGCAGATTTGGCAGTTGCCTCATCTTGGAGATAAAGAACCAGCATCCAGCTGTTCTTGGGGCTTCATCAGGGTTGGTTACCCATAGCCATCTCTCCCAATGCACAAAAGTCACCATCTCTCTTCGAATTCGCAAGTCCTTGCCACGCAAGCGAGCACGCAAGCGTGTTGCGACTCCGGGATTGACCCTGTTGACCGTCCTTTGATGCCTTGGACTCTTGGACTCTTTGATTTTTCTAGGATGAAACCCCTGTAGCCAGTCTCATGACACCAAGCCATTTGGGTCATTTGGGGTACCATGTTTTTGGGACACAAATCCCAGAGGAGTGGTACTCCCATCTAAATCATCCTCCCCATAAACTGAAGTTGGAGTTTATCAAAAGGAGAAAAAGAAAAGATCTGAAAGTCGTGGATGTCGATTTCCAGGTCACCCATTTGGGGTGTCTTTGACTCTTTCTTGCTTAGGTGGAACACTATGAAATGAACCGAAGGAATGTCCAAGCCCAATAGGATTTCTACCCTGTCCAGGGTGCCATTCCTCCTAAAGCGGGGTAAACGCTCCCAGTTCCAAGTGTTCTTCCTCAACAGCCACATTTTTACGTAATTGCCTGCATAAGTATAGAACCCCACTGAGTTATATAGACAGAGGTGTTCATAACCTAACAAAATGGTGCTGCAAATATTTCATTGTACATATGTATACTATATATTACATGTGTATAGTATTGTATATATATATATAATACATATAATACATATATATATTATATATATATCATAATATATCATACTATCTCATAATATACACATATAATTATATATTTATATGTGTGTGTGTGAAAAATGGTTGTATATTAGGTGCTGCATCTTAGTATCTTAGTATAGGTAAAAATATGTTCAGAATATGAATATGGTTATGCGATTCATGGGTTTCTCTGAAAATAGCGTACCCCAAAATTTGATGTTTCAGAAAATCATGTTCCCTCACTAAAAAAAGGCCAAAAATTGCCATTTGGTAGGGTATACCTGATTTTCAGACACACAATTGTTGCTTTATTCCATTAAAATCCTCGAAATTCACCATTCGAATGCCATAAAAAGTAAAAACTTCTAAGATCCCATTGTAGAGATCCCACTAAATCACATGAAATCCTTGGAATGAGTCGTCCTGAGCATGAATCTCCTCAGGCGCTTGAAGTTTTGGTTGCAGCTCCCGGACCAGCTGATTCAACTCCTTGTGGGCACCGTCGGGCACCGTGGAAAATTCATGAATCTATGGGCCAAATGGGGTCATGATGGTTATGGAAAATTCGGATATTACCACGGAGATTAGATCACATTGGAATATGTTCGGCCCCCATTTTCGAGTACTTCCCTTTTAGAGCCTTCCTAGTCACATAGCCGGTCACAAATGGAGGTTTGGGGGATTTACCCAGGATTCCAAGGAAAATGCTCGGCGAAATCCAATGGGTTTGATTTGGGACCGCCAAATATAGAGGGTCCATCCTGCTGAAGGTCAATCCTGCGACGACTTTATCTGGGAACATCTTTATACATCTTTGATGTGTCACCTGATGTGTTACCTGATATGTCCGGAGGCTTTTCCGTGTAAGAAACATTGTAATTCTAGTAGAAATGTGGCAATTGACTTTTTTTCAGAATTATAGTACCAAGTTAGACTAATTCAGCCTATGCAGCATATGTTCCATGGAAATCCTCCACATATGTGGGGAACATCCCGGGCGGCTTCGCGCTTCGCTGCCCCGGGTGCCTCGATTTCTCCATCTGAGAGAACCTCGTCCCACTCAGTGAGCTGATTTTCATCGCGGCTTTCCTTGGTGGCTGCCTGGAAATCCTGGGAAATTCCTGAGTTTTACTCATGTTTCTGACAAGGAAAAGCTTCAGATTGCATGAAAAGTTTGAGATAATTGATGTATTTTGTAGTGTATTTCACATATGCACCATGAATACTAGTATCAAGTTTCATAGAAAGATGCGGTGCGAATAGCGTGGGTGTCTCCTATTTCTTGGTGTTCTGCAGCCATGTATGGCATTTTACGGGTAAAAATTGCCCTGCAGAAGCGATGTTCAATAGATTTTGTGGGTCCCAAAGTCTTCGAAACTCCTGGTGAACAGGAAATCATGCTGTTTATATGGAGGAGTATTGGGGTAATCCACGTTTCTTTACATGTTTGAAAGGTAAACCAGCAAAGCCCGTGGTTTTTCTTCCCGTCCCTCCAAACCAAGGCACACGCATCCTGGGAGTGCGGAAAGCGTGGCCGTAAATCGGGGATAGTTGGGGGCGGATGCTGAAGCACAGCTTGCCCCCTATGATCTGCAACCCGGTGATGTGTAGAGTGGAAGATGATTAGAAGATCTAAGCGTGGCACCTTGGGTGTTTTTCAGGTTTTTTCTCGATGAAATGATGGGAATACCGCCATCATGTGCTTGGTGATGCTGTTCAAAGATTCAAATGATCGATTCTGAAAAGCCTACTTCAGCGTATCTGAAAATGGTGGTATACCGGTTTACCATCCAAATTGTCACTTTCAAATTTAAAATGATAAAATGATAATGAACCGGTGAATTTAGAAGTAACCTATTTTCAGACTGCTGACAAACCCACTCTTGGATTTAGCAGCTCCACAAAGTTTTGTTCATGGCTTTCCTAGGCAGACCTGGAAAGAAAACATGTCGGCCCTCAAGTTAGCCACCAAAGGCCTGTGGCTTGACATCTTCCCCGGTATCCAGCACTGCGGCATGATAGATATGATAGTGGTGTCGAGTAGCATACAACCGCTACAACTATGGTGAATGAACCACTTACTGCGCCCCCAAGGATGCCAGAAATATGTCAGCTGGAACCACAAATTCCCAGGGACCGGCATGCCGAAGGCCAAGTTGCTGTGAATCTCCGTCTGGCAGATTCAAACAGGGGGAGCACCCTTCCAAATGGTTAGAAAAAATATATAGCTGGTAACCATTGGCAACCCCAAAAAAAGATCGAAAAGTCATGTACCACAGTTTTAAAAGTTTTAATATGTTAAGTTTTAATCCTTTTAAAGTCTTTTCAAAGGCCTTTTCAATCTTTTTGAAGGGGTATACATCTGTCCATACCTCTGATCACGCGCAAACAAAACGCACCTGCATCTGGTCGCAGCTCCAAATCGCCGAACATGGGGCGCTCTTTTTCTTCATCCTCCATGTCATCGACCTCGTCTCAATGTCCCCGGATTCTCACCGATTCACCCCACCCCTGGGCTGTTCATTGTTGGATGTGTCCACTACAGATCCCCGGAAACTCTCAGGTTTCAAGAGGTCAGACCGGGATGATTTAAGAGTCAAAAAATTGTACGAACCCATGTACAGTTGATGCAAAAACGTGGTTTCCTGCAAATCTATGCAAATGTTCCATTAAATCATGGCAATGAAGACATGAACACAGCTGTGACGCCTCCAGTATTTCCGACTTTTTGCCAAACCCTTGCGTTGAAAAACGATCCAAGCAGCGAGTTCCTCATCATCCGTTCGGACTTCTTCTTCTGCTTCCTGAAAGTTGGTCGCCAAGGCATCACGGGAGGCGGGCTGCAAGGGTAGTTTAATTACCATCTGGTTATGACTAACATAGCCATGTAAAATCACCATTTTTAATAGGTAAACCCAGGTAAACCATCTATAAATGGGCCATTTCCCATGGCTATGTTAGTCATAACCAGAGGGTAATACAACGTGGCGATGGAAAATCCCCCATCACTATAGCTGGAGGTTGATAGCTGGCAAAGTCAGCGAACTCAATGGGTGATTTTCAATTGCCACGTTTGAAAATACCGGAGGGTACGGGGATAGACGATTGAATATCCAAGAGTTTCTGATATTGACCAACTAAAATTGATCTCCGCAAGACAAGATGACCCAGACCTTTCCCAAGCGCTGAACTGAACCTCTTCTTCATACTCGTCATAGGCGAAGGCACGTTCTAGTCGCCGTGAGCTCCTTGTCACTTTCTGGTGGGAAAAAATACAAAATTCCATGGGTTTAGCCATGTGTGATCCCGCTAAAATTGCCATGAGTAAATGAATTCCCCGTTTGCATCCTGAGACAAACCCAAATGAATGGAAAGAGCTGGAAGATGCTTGACCAAAGAAAACTGAGATACAACTGGCAAATCAGGTGACCTTACCAACATGTGGTTGGAAAAAAGAAAAGAACATTTAGATTTCATGAACTGAAATGGTCAATGAACAGCTTCTAGGAGCTGTTCAAAATCTCAAACTGACGCCAGGCTTTACTGGCTATAAAATGGTAACTTGAGTCTGCACCTCCTGCTATTTTTCTGTGTACATCGCAGAAGTCTTGAAGAAGTTGCTACAGACATCAGATGGCCGGCGTCCTGGAAGCAGCTTTCTCGCGAGCTAACTTCAAAGCCTTTCTCTTCTTGGCATACTCCGAAAACCTGATGCAAAAAATCCAATGGTTTGTCCGTACGTTTTTTTTGCGCAGCTTGACTGACCCAAAGACCTGCAAAAGTACCCCATCGGCTCGCGACTTACCAGCAAAACATGAGTCTTTCATTGGAGGCCGGACATGACTTTCCCTTGGTGAAACAAGACGAATATCATCTGCTAGTCTCAAGACAAATAGAAAGTCTACTATAGTACTAATCTACTAGTCTAAGTTGCGATCAAAACTGGAAAAACTAATTAGTATCAAATTCGTAGCAAAATGCTATTGATGGCCATCAGTGCCATTCATACTTATCGTCATCTTTGGTTGTATCAATAACAACCAATCATCCCAAGCATCGTATGGCCACGGATCAAAACCATTGTAGCTGGATGTTCATCCACCAATCTCATCTGAATCTGGCGTCATCATTCAAAAGATAGTTTTTTTTAAAAAAAAAAGCTGAAATGGTCGCTAATATTGGGGACAGTCCCTGTATGTACAACCATACATTGCACAAAAATTGATATGTATATTATATAATATATATATATATTATACATCCCAGATAGAGTCTATATAGTCTATCGATGTTCCTCCCCCAAATCACAGTTCTTGAGTCTTGACCTACCAGCAACCATGGTCGCAACTGAAATATTTCCGCGCCCCAATAGCCTCATGCAGAGGAAAAGAACCATGCTTTGGGGGGTCCCCCATTTTAGGAGGATTGCGAAATCCCAATAAATGCAAGTGAATCCCAATAATGCCTTTTGGGAAAAGCCTGATTGACAAAAATGCTCCCATTCAATCCCAATAATAATATCCAAACAAAAATAAAGCCCAAATTAAATCCCATCAAAATTCCAGTTAAAAAATTCCCTTTAAAATCCAAAAATCTATCCATTTTTTTAACCAAAAAACAATAAAACTGACTGGTGCGTTTTACGTAGGGAATGGATAAGGTTGCTGGGGGTTGCTGGGATGATGACATTGCCCTCTGGTAAACTAACATAGCTATGGAAAATCACCATTTTTCATGGGAAAATCCACTATTAATGGCCATTTTCAATAGCTATGTTAAATTACCAGAGGGTACTAGTGATGACTGGGATCATTCCCGAAACATTCCCTGCGAAGCTACGCGATCGCTCCCAACTTCCACCAAGGAACCGCCCCTTGACTCGACCGACAAAGCGATAAGCGGCCAAGGCAGCCCCGAACATCCTGAGCCTAGCCCTACGGTCGCCCGAGAAAAGACACGAGATGGTGATGGATAGTTGTGATTCTTATTGTTATCAATATCAATATGATCATTGTTATATGATTGTTATCATTGTCATGATTATCATTATTAGTTATCCGTGTTGTTTATAAGTATATACAGTAGTAGTATTATGATTACTACAGTAATTTATGTTCCTATGATTAAATATACGATTATACCTTAAGTGAATGAGGAGATGAACATCCATGGTCACAACAGCGATAGACTTGGGGGTGCACATTTTTTCAGCAGGGTACCGTGATACCGTGATACCGTGATACCATGTGGTACCCATATTGGGTCATCACTGATTTTGAGGCGATGTTTTTTTGGCTCCTCGTTGAATGGGGTATTTTTGGGGAATATATCCATAGAATTCCATAGATATCCTTGGCTCCACAGCTCCTTCCTAACCATCCGGAGCTTTCCGGAAGAATGGTCCCCAAAATGGAGAGAAAATCCGATAAAATTGATTTGGACTTGGAGGTACCCCCATTTTAGGAAACCCTTGTCCAAATCCAAACATCTTTTGCACTGATTACTTGAACCATTTCTAGGAGAAAAAAGCACCCCAAGCAGTGGGGCCCCAACTGGCGAAGTCGAATGGTACAGTATATAACTGACTATATATATCTGGTTGGTGGTTGAGCCCTACCCCTCTGAAAAATATGAGTTCGTCAGTTGGTATGATTATTCCCAACTGAATGGAACAAAATAAATTTCATGTTCCAAACCACCAACCAAATAATATCAAGTGATATCATCATTGTGATCGACCTAAGAGAGTCGAGCTGATCCAAATTCTCAACTGGTCAGCCTTGACAATGATGAAAAATGATGGAACATGTGGAACCACCAAACTACAATTCATGTAGGTCAAAATAATCCAGCTGTGTATGAAGCCCGCGATTTTCGAGCTTCCCCCTGGTAGTCAACTCAAGTTCTCTCCCCTATCATCAAACGAAACGAAGCTGCCAAGCTATGTTTTCCTCGGGTCGGGCGGTGACAAGCAGAGATGCACTGCAGGGTCAAGTTTCTCTGCGGGGGAGAAGGCGAATTTACAAATACCACTGGGACAGTGGAAAGTTGGCAAAGGCATTGCCAATGGATTATGTTTTCTTCTCACTCAGACCGCGCTGCTCCAGAGCATGCTCACTCTTTTTTTCTGTCAAAAAGTTCAAGGTCAGTGCAAGGGCGGCATCTTCAAGGATAGGATTATCTTAGGGCGAGCTGGCTCTGGCTGGGTTCAAAAAACCGGCTGAACCAAGCTCTCACGGTTGACGTTTTTGCAACAGGCCGCGCGTTTCGACTTTTTGAAAAGCAAAGTTGTGCCGATGCGTGGCACACAAGGTATGTTTTCGACAAGTGGGTCTATTGTCTACGCCCTTCTGTGTGGAAACTTATGGCAACCTCAAGATGTTGAAAAACAAAGTTGTATCCAAGTCAATCTGTGTTAAGATCGCTGGTTGAGTCACACTTTGGTCAAGTTGTGGCAACATGTTCAAAATGGCCACGTTCGACTTTGACCCAAACCAGCTGACAGGTGGGGATCAGCGCCCATTTTAAGATCGGCCGTTTGAAGAGTTCAAGCTTTTTTGCAGGAGCCAGCCTTAAAACAGGTGCCTGGATCCAGAATTATGGCCAAGGGGTTGCGGGAAAGGCGCTTCAATATTGGCAAAGGTTGTAAACATTCATGGGTCTGAATCGATTGCAATGGCCAGTTCCCTTTTTGGGCACCAGCACTGGTTGCCAGTTTCAAGATTTTAAATTACTGCAGTTGTTTATGCAATATCTCATTTCATCTAAAAAAGACTTAAAGTGAAACCCCCGCAGCTTGGGGTTTTGTGGATGTATCAAGTTTCAGTTCACTCGTTTTGTGGATCATTCATCATCAAAGATCAGCCTCTTAGGTGAGCACCAGAACTGCCGCGGTTGGAAATCAATGGACACTGCAGACACCGCAGGAGACAGTGAAGCTCTGAAGAGCTCATCGACCCGATCGGATTAAGCACCAGCCGCGGCACTCGTTTGGGGCTCCAAGCAGCACCCGTGGTGCGAGCGCTAGGCCACTAGGCAGTGTCCGCTATGCCGAGGAAACTGGAGCGCTGCGATGCTGCCTGGTCATACTGAGTCATACTGTCATAACATGCTGATGCTGATGCTGATGGGAGCTTGCGCGTGGTCGATTTTTTAAAGAAACCTTGCGTGAGCTTGCGCAGACTGGTTTTCGCTAAGACTTGGTATATTTTGCAAAGCAGGCTTGGGGGGTTCATCCAAATTCATTCATGTTTACCTTATCTACGCGATTTTGAGCGCATGCGAAGCTTGCAAGAACATAAGCCTGCATGAAGCTTGTGAAAAGAATGCACTGTGGTCCTGTGCAGTTCGTCTACCGGCACCTTTGAACGCGGTGTGCGGCTTCAACACCGTGGCACACACAGAAGCGAAGCTTTACAGCGCTGTCATGTTTTATCATGTTTTACCGATGCCAAAACTTCGGAACCCAAAGTTTTTTACAAAAACATCGCTTTCCGAACTCGATCGAATCCTGGGCGTATAATCAGCTCCGCACTTTCTTCAGCGGCCACCGGTTGACCAGGCTGCTGCCGGTCCAACAGGATGGACCTCTTTCAGGTGGCGCTTTTTTTGGACACCCAGTCAGAACCACCCAGATCTCAGGCGATTTTGGACAGAAAGGAAAGGCCTAGAGATTTATGATCCCAGCAGTCCTATCAGTGACTGGAGCACATCCTACCAACTCCTTTGCAGTTCCAGGTGCTCTGCAATCTTTCCAAGACCGCTAGGAGGAGTGGCGATCTTCGTGAGACCGAAATCCTGCAGCACTTTGGCCAACTTTTGGAAAACTGGCTTTGAAGCCACCCGCTGGGGACATATTTTTCAAGTGGTGATTTTCTGTGGCACTGCGACCTGAATTTCAACCTACAGAAACGGGCAGGGTGAGAAAATCCTCGCATTCGTGTCTGGTGTAGTGAACCTGGCCTTGGAGCAGCCTCTAAAACAGCATGTGTGGAGGATGTTTGTTGGTCAAAACACTGGCGATTTTTAGCGAAGTGCCAACCACAGCAGCCTTTGGTCTGGCAGCGACCAACCCTTTGAACACCAACTGTCTGACGGTCAGGTAAACACACTGCAGGCCGCAGCCATTTGGTCGTGTTAGGATTTCTCTCGTGCTGTGCATCTGCGAATTCACGGCAGCTTCCAAAAAACACCGCGGCTGCAAAGGCTATGTCATGTCTTCTAGCTGACATGGTGCATTAGGACATTGGAATCACTACGGTCAAACCTTCTCCGATCCTGTGATTCTAGGCCTGAAAAGGACATTGGATAAATCGGCAACAGCCTGCAGCATCCCCTCGCGGCTCGGACTATGGGCAGACGACATGGGCGATGGATGGGACACCACGGTAGCGTCGGCTGGAACGGCGCCGAGCAGCTCGTATGACACGCGTCGTGTTTCGCCTCCAGCCTGGTGAAAAGTCCATCGGCCCCTTCAGGTGGCCTTCAGGCGGCCTTCAGGTGGCCTTCAGGTGGCTCGAGATGTTGCGGGAAGACTTAAGACATTGAGACATTGAGATTGAGGATGATAGAGGTATCTCATATGACTTTTATGACTTTGGATTATCTTCATATATCTTTGGGCAGAAATCCAGAAATCTCGGCAGAAATCTCGGCACTTGGATGTTGCGGCACGAAAAAGTGCAGTGACCACCTGGGCTCAAGAGGACTGAGCACTCCATCGGCCACCGATCCCAAGAACCTGAGATCATCTCCGCATCGGTCAGTTTGAAAAAGCTACCCATGGAGCCACAACTCATTGGTCGTTCTTAATGTCTAACATATGTCTAACTATCCCATTATGGGGGGTTAATAAGTTTGAGCCATATCCAAATAAAGAATGGTTGGGCAAAAGCACCACTTGGGCATGGCAAGGATTCACGGCGAGTCTTGAGGTGTGGCTCAGCGCAGGTTGGATCCAGGTGTAAGACTCATCCATGTCGGTCACTGCTTGTTCTGCTTGAGAAGTGTCAAGCACATAAGATGGCCATCTGAAGTGCAACATCTGGGTTTGTCTGATTTTGTTGGGAACTTCCCAGAATTGATGCTTGACCATCATTTTCTTCACTCAAAGTACGAAATTTGCTAACATTTGGGGGCCAAAATAACACTCTTCTGACCGGTTTTTTTGCTACAATCTGGACCGGCTCAACCTGGGCGCTGAAGGATGATTGAAGGGACAACCCCTTGGAGCTAACTGGACAAATTGCTGAAGACCTCCACCGAGCTCCGCGAGCCTCGGAAGAGCTAACTGGACCGAGAAAAAGGCATAGGACCGACCAGAAAAGTGCACGGAAGTCTGCTAGTTGACCTCTCCCGATCTTCCTGTCATGACTCGCTCTGGACATGGATCTGGTGCCGCGGAGTCACCCCCTTTGATCAAGTACGAAGCTCGAGACAAATGAGCCGTGTTCAAAGCCCTGGTATTTCATTGTACTTTTATGGTGCTTTCAAATGTACTTTCGCAGTGCTTTCGCGCGGTGAACATTTGACAAAATTGCTTTTGCGGAGCTTTCGTCGTATTTGGTCTAACATGCGACAATTTATAATGCTTCGCTACTTAAATCGGCCAATCGGCCACTTTCGCAAAGCTTTCGCAACGGTGTACGTCAACTTGGTCTTCGCAAAGCTTTCGCCCACCTTTCCGGAGCTGCGTTTGAGCTTTTGCGGGCACTACCCAGTTGCCCAAGTGAAGCACTCTACAGAAGGGTTGTGAACGCTGCTCAAATCTGCAGCTTTAGCTCGGCCACATCCCAAAACCTCGAGTTTTCTGAGGGAAAGAATCAAGCACTGGAGAAGCAACCGATAGTTTGCCAGGCATCATAGGCAAACAGAAAGGCTCTTGACAGGCAGCGTGGAGGCACATGTTGCTAAACTGCAGGTATCCTCC